GTGTGTGTTAGTGCCTACCTAAAACACTCTTCTCTTTCCCGCTGACGCGAGGCCCGTATTCCCCTGAGACCGAATCCCATCGCTCCAGTGAGAACGCGGTACCTAGCTCCTGTAGTTTCCAGTTCATCCCCCCTTTTCCCCGAAATGTAAGCCGTTACAGTAAGCTTACTGGCGCCCAGCACCCCGATAACCCATACCCCGCAAACTATTATCCACCAGAACAACAAAAGGGGAAACAGAACTGGATAGGAAGGACGCAGCCGCAACCTGCCAACTAGAAGTAACAACAGGTGAGAGGGAACAGCTAGAGGAGCAGATGCAACCAGCAACCAAAGGGCTCTTCAGAGGACTGCCGGAGAAAGACGGTTAAGAAGGAGTGGAGCCCAACGCAAAGGGCCTTAAAGCAGACAGAGCGGTTACAATCCTGTTAAACTGGTTACGACTGATGGACTGTTTCTTTCTTTTGCTAGTGGCGTGGGACTAAGTCCCTTGCACTGCGGCCACTTCTGGCCTGTTGTACCAGCCCCAGATCATAGGTGAGGGTGATTGTGGAGCAATTGGTGGAATGAAGATTGGCAGGGGAAACCGAAGTACTTGGAGAAAACCTGCCCCAGCGCCACTTCGTCCACCACAAATCCCACTTGACCACACCCGGGATCGAACCCGGGCCGCCGCTGTGGGAAGCCAGCGACTAACCGCTTGAGCTATGGCGCGGCCCTTGATGGACTGTTACTGGTTACTTATGTACTCGTATAGAAATCGAACGGAAACGTCGGTTGCCTTTCATTTACAAATCACTCCTCATACAAGCGATGTAATTTGAATCACCTTGTGTACATTTTGTTTCCCACAGAAGGGATACGCAGAACTTTTGAAGAGACAGAAGAGGAAGGAAAGAAGTACTACTATTGGATGTCACGCACCCCACCCCACCCCTTCCACCCGGCACCCCCGCTACTCCCCTAAATCAATGCACAAACTGCGTGACCGAAGCGAGCGTTAGAGGGCTCAGAGGGTGCAAATGGGGAGCACATAACTCACGTCAAATTTGAAGAAATTATAGGTACTAAAGCTCGTTTATAACATGCATCCCCNCCAGCTCGCTTTCTGGTTAAGCAATCTACTCCTGCCAGAGTCGCAGCTGACAAGTGACGTCTGCACGGAGGCAGCAGCACAGTGAGAGGATAGCGTGGTGGTACCGCCCTAGGATCTCATTCGCGAGGAAAACGGTTCGAATCTCAGTCGCGACATCGTCCGTCATGACTGAGGTGTTTCGTGGTCTACCTCAGTCCGTATATTCAAACGCAGTGTGGTGGGCACGTCCTCCAAACCCTTCCCCATTTCATCCACCGGAAAATCCATGTTGACGATAATAACAGGAAGAAGAAGCAACAGAGGATGATATGTGTACCGAGCTCAGTGTGCTTCACCCCGCCTTACTACAAAGTCGTTTAAATCGAGGGGAATCCCACCACTGTGTGTGGGTATGTCTCATGGGCCTCTGGACCAGGGATTCCCAAACGCTGTGACACCGCGACCCCTAGCCCCGGCGATAGGCGAGAAGTGCAGTTCTGCACACTGTTGCAGGTCGCTACCAGGTTTTACTGTGACAGCAGGAACCTACATAGCTTCACAGCCGATCTGTTTGCACAGCGTCCTCCCCACCGCAGCCCAAACTGTGGGCCCAACATTTGGGTGACGCTACGGACTCCGTCTATGTCGTTCTCAAAGCAGCGGTCTTCAGTTCCTCTAGAGCACAATGGTAACTATGTGTACCGCCTGCTTCACATGCCTTAACATTCTGCCCACTGTGTATTTGAGTGTTCCGTACGGTTCTCACAATAAACAGCGACTGTTTCCCCAAACAGCATCCACCGGTTGGGCTTTGTAGCGGATGTTTCCTTTGAGCAAGTAAAGAAACCGACCAAGGAGGTCCACTCACCGAATGAAGGCGGATGTGCATCTGTCAACCTGGAAAGAGAAAACAGAGATCATGCACAGGCTTCAGGTTTCCTCAGCGGTGACTGGTCAGTCGGTGTTCCGGGTTGCAGCGCCGTGCAGTACGCAAAAGGACTGACGTTTCGCAGGAACATCACCACCGAAATATAGTGCGTTAAAAATATGCAAGACTGCACTCTCCTTCAGACAACATTTCGTTTTGCGCTACCCAGAATGCATGTGACTCTCCACGGCTATCATCATGTATCCACGCGGAACTGGAGCGTCATGCAACTGGAAGCATTCAAGTTAATACACTGACTAGGACATTGAATGGATGACTTGGGTTCAATTCCCGCTAGTGCCAGGTATTTTTCCACCACTGTGTCAAGACATAAAGCGGCCGGTCCACTCCCGCTGTCACCCATATGGCTTCATGGAGTGGCACTTAATTAATTAAGCAGGAGGACAACTTTACTTTTATTCACAATTCTATTTAATTTCTTTTTTGTAGAAAATATTTCATCTAGACAGCAGCAGCATGTTGTCATACTATAAAGTTCAGTATCTGCGTACAAATTCACCAAGTGACCTGACATCATACACTTTGCGTCCACATTTCAACGGGTTTCGAACTGGCAGAGCGCGTAATCCTTCTGAACCATACAATGCACTATCACACCTACAAGCGTCTCTTATACGTCACTTTACGACGCTCTGGGTACCCAGACTAGTGAGTACGGATGGTATTTAGGATGACTGATGGATTGGTCGTGACCTAACCAACGTACTATCCCAGAATGTAGGTCACGCCATAGCTCAAGCGGTTAGTCGCTGGCTTCCCACCGGGGCGGCCCGGGTTCTATCCCGGGTCTGGTCAAGTGGGATTTGTGGTCGATAAAGTGGCGCTGGGGAAGGCTTGCTCCGAGTACTTCGGTTTCCCCTGCCAATCTTCATTCCACCAATTGCTCCACAATCACCCTCACCTATCATCTGGGGCCGGTACAATAGGCCAGAAGTGGCCGCAGTACAAGGAACTTAGTCCCACCCACTAGCAATAAGAAAATTAAAGAATGTGCTTTGAGGGACTGGGAACGATAGCCGGAACTCGATCCGAGCACGTGGTGTCCGGACCACACCCCATCGGCGCGCCGGATAAAAAACCATCCCCAGCAAATGGCCAAGGATAAGAGAGGAGACTGCAGGCTATCTCGGCGGTACACTGTCGACTCTGATCTGCTCTTGGGTCTTTTCAAACTGCGGATGTAGGCAGTATTGCCGATGTTTCGCAGGGACATACTACCTCCATCTTCAGGGCATAAAAAGAATGTTGATGTACATATACGTACAGTTCATCTGTGCAAAATAGCTGGCAGGGAGGTATCGGGGCCCGGCCAATAGGTACACAGGACAGGAATATGTAATATTTTTGGGGAGGGGAGTGTTCTGTGACGCTGTCATCAGCTGCACTACACAATGTCGAATTGTAGGATGACACATGAGTGATGAATACGAGAAGCGTGGAAAGAAGCGGTCATGGACTAATTTCATAAGCGATTCCGGAACTTGCCTCGAGGGTCTGAGGAAAAGGACGAAAAACGTTAGTGCTGGTAGCTGATCTCCCCTCAGAGAGTCGAACCGAGTACTTCCCGAATACAAGTATGTAGCGTGCCTATAGGCAGTGGAGTATGGATGACCTGCAAAGATGCGACGCATGAATATCGCAACCATCACATCGAGAGTCCTCGTGTTCGAGACCAATTTAAGGGACTCGACATAACGTTGCAAAGGCATGCTGCTTCGTTTAATTTTAAGGGGGGTAGCTTTTTAATAATGTTGTCACGCGATGGAGTGACTGCCGACGGGGTGTGGACTAATAATCGGATTTGACACTTGCACAGCGTAACTACAGATAACTACGTCAGTCTCACTGAATTACAAACTCCAAAGATCACTGTAACTACAGTGAGAAGCTGGTAGTTGAGGCATGGGGACAGTGAGAGAACCCACAGAAAGAGGAACGTTCGCCGTTAGAAGCCGCTAACAAGAAACGGCTAGTGAAGACTGTAACAGACTGAGAAGACCCAGTGTATTCTATAGTGATCTGTGAAGTGTAGTAACGAGTTGTATAAATGTCAAATCCGATTACCAAACCAAACCGTGTCTATAGTCATACTCTCAGACCAGTGTTGGTCTGTCTCACCAGTAAAGCTGGTTTCGAGAAAACTGACATCAGACGTTTCGGCCCCTAGTGCGCGTACCCTTTCAATTACCTCAAGATACTACCTAGGGATAGTATTTAGGAAAGTAGTCGGCATAAATTACTGAAACTTAATCAGAATCGTTACAGCCATTCTTGAAGCCCATGAAAAGGGTCACTATATTTAGGGACTGGAATCTGCAGACACCGACCAACCTATGACGGATGAACTCTTAAATCCCAAACGTGGATAGATAAGCAAATTCCGTCCAATTATTCAGGTGTACATCTGTCCATACGTACATGCACGCACACACACACAGCTAACACGGTATTCCACAAAACGTCTTCTCATATTCGGGGGAAGGGTGGGGCAAACGTGTAAATCCGTCAAAATCTCGAGATCCATTGCCTTCTCCATCCGATCCATGTCAGTTGTAAGGAGTTCGTAGGAAAACCGACAGAGGAGCCACTTGACGATCTGCATGTACGGTGACCGCAGTGTCTGATAATAGATGGTGCAGCTTAATGCATAGCTTGTCAAGCCCGTAGCGTGAGCGCATACTGAGATCGAAACTTCCTCATGAGCTGCAATGCATGAGAGTGGATCATACTGGCACCGAGTGTGATGATAACCCCAACGACTTACGGTTGATGCCAGTCGTATAATAAAACAGGTATACCTACGCTTCGTGTCATTTCAATCTTCAACATCACAATGTGACATTCATATTAAAACGCCCAACTAGCCAACACGGCTCTGCGTCTGATGCTGGAGCTGGAGAATGCCTGGTTCCGCCGTCAAGGCTCGAGTGGTCCTACGTGGCGCCCATAAAAACATGGAAACCGGTATGTAAAGTGAGCACAGCGGTGTCAGCCATAAAGCTGAGGCCTCGCTAATTAATTGGCAGTGGGCTAATCCCCTCAGAGACCAACATCGCGTTGCATTAGCCTGAATTCAGGAATGGTTTCATTCTGCTGGCTCGGTGTCGCCGTAACTAGGGTTTCTGCTAATGAGACGACAATCCCGGCCGCTTGTGTCATTCGGAAGGGGCACATAATAGATTTCATTAACACACGTTAATGCGTAGTTGGGAGGATAATATTAAAACGGTGATTAGGGAAATATGCTGGGAAGGCGTGAACGGATACAGGTTGTTCAGGACACGAACCAGTGGTTGGCCGTTGCGAACAAGGCAGTGAATCTTCGGATTACATAAAAGGCGAATAGTTTCCTTACTAGCTTCTCGACAACGGCCTGCTCACTGGCGTGAATACATAAGTTAGTTAGTAGGTGAGTGAAATTGTGATATTACCAAAGTGCGTTTCAATGGTCCGACGTCTCTTCAACTCGCCTTCTACAAGGTCTATACTGCATTTCGTACTCACAAAGTTGAATCTTGCCCTGCAGAATTCATGACGTCCAGCACACCTGCAACTTGACAGAGACGTGCACTTCCTGCAATGAGGGGAACTCCCTCGGTCTGTGCCCGTCCCAGCAACACGACTTTAAAGCTGACGATGTGATAATGTGCTGCCTGGTCAGGGCTATCGCATATCTCAGCGGGGCGGTGATACATGGCTATGGAGCGATGGTGAAATGATGATAATCAGGGGAAAACAGAAGAAACTCGAAGAAAACCCCAGTGGCACTCCGTCTCACATGAAGTCACCCACAGCTGAACTGGACGCTCTTACTTTGAAGCCAGAATAATGAGCAGATGAGGAAACCTGAGATGTTACCACTTCACGTGCATTCACCCAGTCTAGATTATACTTAGGAACTGCTGTCACGACCGTTTAGAATCCAACAGGAAATTTCGTCATTTCTTACAAAAGTTTTCGCACTACTTACTTCAGGGCCCGCGAAAGTTCAGTCGGTATACAGACTGCCTTCGGGATGGAAGGACGAGGGGATGGAGTTCGAGATTTTCTCTTCTATACATCAAGACCGGCTCTGGGGCCCACCCACCCTCCTATCCAATGGGTACCGGGAGGCTCTTTCCCGGGGCGTGAAGCTGACTAGTGCCGATGTCAAGAACGCATGGATCTATACATCCACCCTCACATATGCCTCCATGGGGTAGTGATTAATTACTTCAGCACAGTGACAACTTTAACTTTACCATTAAATTTCCGTTTTCGTCCGTGATGTTAACGAATCCGGGGTTTAACGCAACTTCCCATGAATAACGCGAAAAAAAAACATGGTGAAACGTCTCATTTATGTGGTAAATAAGAATTCACACATCCATACCGAAATGAGATCGATACTAATAAGGAAATTGAAGACTGCTCGCTAGTTCATATCCCTACTATGTAACTTAACCTTCTTGTAACGTGTTAACACTCGAAAATTTCCGCTATCGTACGTGAAAACTGCACAATGCCAAATCCCACGCTTACAAGGCCAGCCCATGACGGCCACTATCACACGAGTTACTCGTACATACAAGCTGCAACAGTCACCATGCGCCGCGACGCTACATGAAGGGCTTGATCCCGAAGGAGAGGCGAACTGAAAGTAACGAGGCAGAAAGCTACACAGGTCTCTTCGAGGGTGCGCATCTGCCATTCTCCTTGCGTGAATAAATGATTAAAATTTCTCTAACACCCGGTGTCATGGCCTATATTCTGACAGACTTCGTTACTGATGCAAGTTGAAATTACAGTAAAGTTCGTGCTTGAGGACTGCAAACGCATACTGTGCGGAACTGACTGGCGGACGCAATGACTAAAGGACTGAGTAGCTGAAGAAATGACTGACACAAGGTATGAGATGCCATAGTTGGCGGTGCAGATGGACTGCACTAACTGCAAGTCCACCTCTAGA